GGGGGGGGACTGGTGTTTTGTTTGAAAGTGTGCCTGGCGCAATATGGTTCATGGGCTCACGAAGAGTCGGACACGACTTAACGACTGAACAACAACAGTGCCTACTTATGCAGGAATCAGAAGGAGTCTGATAGTATCTTTTCCAATTAGCAAATTTTATTAAAAGTCATAAGCTTTTGTGATCTTATGATTGATACGGAATGATGACAGCTGTAGTACAAATGATCTGGTGGGGGGGGGGGACACCAGAATTGCAAAAGCTTTATCTGCCATGCTAGACAGTTTCATATTTGTATGAGATGATAAACCACAGCATTTTACCAGGCACTCCTATGTAGTGCCATTAATAAAAAGACTTGAAAGAAAGACTGCTTGGAACCACGTGTGATCACTAAATCTTGTGATAGTTTGACTCTGATTCTGAGATTTCAGTGTTAGCTCAAGGTTTCAGCCACTTACAATGTTTAATTACATTTTGATTTAATTTTGGAAAGTTGTTGAAGATGCTTCCTAACATGTTGCAGGGCAGTGGAAAATTAAGCCTATTTGGGGTGTTTGTGTGTGTGAAAAGGGGATTTCCCAAGTACTGACGCAGGAGGAAAGTAAAAAAAAAAGAGCAATGGATCATAGCTGCTGGAGCTCCAGGAATAGTTGTGTAAATTAGCATCCTCTGAAAAGAAGTAAGAATTAATTCACCTCTCTTGGCAGCTAAGCCCTGGGAATTTCAGGTCTATTAGTGAAACCCAGAAGTCAGTATCAAAGCACTTCCATATCACTGTCTGGAAAACTCCATAGATGCCCTCACCAGAAGCCAAGCTCAACTTGAGGGGATCTTTATCTTGCTGAAAACCCACAACACATTTGAGTATTGGAAAATCACCACTCAGAATGTGGAAATGTAAGGAAATTTCCAAGGGTAATAATTCTGTAAGAACCAGTTTGGTGTAGTGGTGAAGGCACCAGGCTAGAAACTATGAGACTGTGAGTTGTAGTCCTGCCTTAGGCATGAAGCCAGTTGGATGACCTTGGGCCAGTCACTTCCTCTCAGCCCCTGGAAGGAGGCAATGGCAAACCACTTCCAAAATCTTGCTAAGAAAACTACAGGGACTTGTCCAGGCAGTCACCAGGAGTCAAAACTGACTTGAAGGGAAGGGAGGAAGGAAGAAAGGGTGCTTTCGACTCTTCCCAACTGAGAATGAGTTGCATGTTTGAGAATGAGAATTATTACAGCTGGATTGCAACATTTGAAGTTTCTAAGAAAGTGCTTCATAGTTACACAATATCCAAGGAAAAACAAATGCAGGAACACATCCCTGAGGATGAATAAATGGAGGATTCTGCATCTTTAGTTGGAAAATAATTTAGTTTTACTGCCATTGCTATCACCGCATTTCATTGTGTAGTCAACTTACAGACATAAATAAATATAGGCTTCACCGATGGAAGGATAGGATGGTGGTGTCACCACACTGAAAAGCAGCTATCTCAGTAGAAAAGAATTAAAAAGAGGTCTTCTGAGCTGCTAGCTCTGCACGTAGCATCATCTTACTCAGGGTTTCTCAACCTTGCAACTCGAAGATGGGTGGGCTTCAACTCCCAGAATTCCTCAGCCAGCCAGGAATTCTGGGAGCTGAAGTCCACTCAACTTCAAGTTGCAAGGTTGAGAGACATTCATCTAACTGACCTTTGCTGATCTCAAAACTTAGCAGGGTTACCTTGGTTAGTTCCTGGATAGCAGACCACCTGGGAATTCCAGGCTATCGGCTGGACTGGGAAGTTGAAAAGAACTCCCATGGCAAAACAATGGGAAATTACTTCCATGTTGTTGCCGAGATCCAATGGGATGCAGCCTCAGAACCAATCTGAGGTTCTCTCTACTTTTACCTTTGATCCACCAAGCTGAAGACAGTCACGCAATCTTTGTCCAGGATCTTGACAATGGCTAGGTTCAAATGTTAAGCCATGCTGGAGAACATTCTCCCTCTCAAGGGCTGCAGGTGTTATGAGTCTGATTTTTAACCTCCAAAAGCCACACCAACAATAGTAACATTACTGGAATAGGTGGTGTTGAAATTTTCTGTCTGATTTTGGGTGGGTTGGTTAATTACACAAATGAGTGTAAATAATACACTTATTAAAAAAAAAAAAAACAACCACCCTGTAGGTTGCCCATCCTTGTATTCAACCACAGTGTTTAACAATAGCTTACTTACTAGTAAACTAGTATTTATATATAAGTTTTGTTTTGACAGTGGATTTTTAATGGATTAATTAATTTAAACTATTTATGGGGTATCTTTAATTGTTGATGGGTTTTTGATTTTAATTGTGAGCCGCCCAGAGTCACCCGTTGGGGGAGATGGGTGGCATACAAATTTAACAACAAATAAATAAATAAACCGCAGCAACCAAGATGGGTAAGAGATAAGCAACTGTTCCAGATCCCAGGTAGCCCTCCCAAACTCAAGTAAAAATCACTGGCATCTTCAAGGTTTTGAGGATGTTTGGCGCACAGCTGCCCAAATTGAAGCCAACCTTTTGGGATGGGAACACCAAAGATTGGGTGGGATTTGGGGGTGGCCTTTTTTGTTTTTAATGTGGGGGGTGGCCTCCTGAGGGATGGGGAGACATTGTGTTGCTGGACAATGAAGCCAGGTCACATTTTGGCCTTCAAGCGGATCACCAAGAATCTAAACTACATCTTACTTTCTTCGGAAGGCAACAAGCCATCATTTGCCTTTAAAACCAAGAAGTCAACAATAAATGCACGGGCTGCTCCGGCCAATTTCTATCCCTGCGCTTATCTACTAGACACGAGAAGGGAATCATCTCCAGTGATTAACACGCCCTGCTCAGTTCAAGTCATTTTTATTCAAAAAGATGGTTTTAGTCTCACTAAGACGTCTTTCTGCTAAGTGAAGACTCCCCCAGTCTCCCTTTCCAGTGGGGAAACGGAGGCAGCAAAGTTAAAGTAAGGCTGTTGTTATGGGAGAGAAATGGAAGTTTTTCAACTTCTCTGGGTGAATCATTCAATATTGCTATAATGTATATTAGTATTTCTCAACCTTGGCAACTTGAAGATGTGTGGACTTCAACTCCCAGAATTCCCCAGCTAGTATGCTGGCTGGGGAATTCTGGGAGTTGAAGTCCACACATCTTCAAGTTGCCAAGGTTGAGAAACACTGCTGAATATTGTCCTCTCTCTCCCCAGAGTAGGAATGGACAGTTTCATTCCAGCTTCAGACTACTTTATAATTAGAAGTACAATCATTTCCCCCCCCTTCTTTCCCACTGATGTCCTAATTGCTGCTTTTCCCCACAAGGCACCACAACCCTGGATGTGACAAGGGGTGACATCTGGATAGAATGTGCTCATCAGTGCCAATCAGAGTACAAAATATTTTGAATTCAAAACAGACGGTTCCAGCCCTATCGGAAATATTCCAAGTTGTCTCCACCTCAAGCCATCCTTTGAGCATTAAAAAAAAAAAAGTTGTTTGGAATAACTACTGTGCCTCAATGCTGTTTCTTCATTTAAACAGCTTTTCATTTAAATGGGATTGCGAACTCATTTGCCACCCAGAGCTCCTTCTGGTAGACAGGTGCCCATATAGAAGTGTTTAAGAAATAATAAAGAAATAAACCTGTTCTGAGCCTGAAACCTTCTGGATTCAAAACATTTTGCACACTTCTATTGCCAAAGCTAACACGGCCATGTGAGAACATGTTGGTTTTCTAATTATGTCTCTTGAAGTAGAGCCACCAATTTATATGGAGCAAGAAGCTTATGCAATTCTTATGCAGCCCACATAGCAATCCACCACACTCCTGTTTCTAGTTTTAGTACAGATGGGTTAGTCTTTTTAAGTGAAAACTAACCTCCTTCAGTTAGAACTCAAGGTTTAGATTAGCGCATGATTTCTGAAGTCAGCTCCAGGCTGCCGCTTGTGACACAACGCAACTCCAACGCAACATTACAATTATAGAGGACCCGCTGCCAAGGGAGCGATGCCTATTTGTAGCGAATCAGCCGGATGATCTTATTATTCATGAAATCCGAGGTGTGTGGGTGAGAGGAGTCCACACAAAAGCCATCACTCATGGCAATTTTAAGTACCTCCTCCACAAAGACCTGGAAACTGTTAATTTGCTTCTTCGTTGGCAGGACCCACAATCTCTTTAAGTTCTGCCTTGTGTACTCTTCTTCTGGCAGGCCTTCCACACTGGCCACCCAATCTAAGGTCACATGATAGGGATCCTGTAAATAACTAGAGATGGATGCCAAGTTGCCATTGAAACAGTAGTAAAGTTTGGAACCTAGAAGTTTGAGGAACAAACTGGAAGTGCTGAATATATGGGCACTGAACACTTCCATGTTAGAAGAGGACAAGCTATAGATCTGGGGAGCTTCCCGGACAGTGAAATGAACTGTTTGTGTCCTCTGATCCAAAGTGATGTTGAGCATAGCGTTCTTCTCTGCTTTGGAGAGCTCCACCTCCTTTTCCTGTAAGGCTTCAATCAGTGGTTGGACCTGGTAAAAGTCTGCTTCCCGCCGAAGCAAGCCCATTTCTTGGAAGTCCTCGGGAAGGTCCAGATGAGAAGTTCTCAAGAAGTTGAGGATGTAGCGGAAAACTTTGCCATCTCTGTCAATGAAGCAGTTGCCTTGGCTGTCTCTTTTGGTTGGCATCTTCCCACTGAACATGGCACCCAGCATGGAGTCTGGAAAGCTGGTCAAAGTGGAGAGGGAAGTCGTGTACAACTTCCCACCAACATTTAGTGTAATGGGTTCTGACATGGCTGGAAATGGGGCACACCTGGGAGAAAGAAATAATGACTGAATTATAATATAGGAATTAAATTTTTGAGGGGAAAGAAAACCCCCGACTGCAATGAAGTTCTAAAATCCCTTTGGCAAACTCTCTAGCATCTCGAAAGCTTTATTCTGTACTTACGGAAAAAGTATTAAAAATCATTTATTATTTATGTAGATTTCATCGTTTCTTTTTCTTGCGGCTCACCACCCGGGGTCTTTGCATTGCAGTGGGTTAAAAAAAAAAGGCAGATAAATAAATAAAATCCAAGTTGCTTGCTGTGGCCTGGAAACCACTGTGCAGCTTGCCCACCAATACAAAATGCCAGCGTTAGGCATCAACACCTTTCGTACTTAAGCAAGCGGAAAGTTACTGGATGCAGTCTGTCTTATCACAGTGCAAAATGAAACACTACGCTCACTTATATAGCTATTGCAGAATCACAACATAAAGGGTTTAGCGTCTCTCAGCCAGCGCCTTAAAGATTCAGAGCAGTTGGCCCGTAAGTGAGAAACTGGATCCTTTGTGTAGAAAGACATCTCTGTACAATATTTGCATAAGTTAAGCATGGATCTTTCAGTGATCCAACACGCCCTCAACACTGTTTGACATCAGTATGAAGCTTTTGGAAGGCGTCATTAAGAGAACTGGATATCATCTGGGTTAGCAGAGTACACGCAACCCGCTAAGCCATCAACAATGGTTTATTAGCCAGAATAGCTGGATTCATGCAGTTCCTTAAACCCATATCAGCCAAGCCATTGATTGTCATCTGCAGCTTCCCATGATGATGGAATCATGATGACACCACAATGCAAACCTCACCCTTGTGGAGTCCTTGGGGTTCTCTGAGCTGGGTTGTTTTCTTGCAAACGTTTCATTACCCAGCTAGGTAACATCTTCTGTGCTAGAATGATGTGTGATGGAATGGACTTATGAAGGCCAGGCTCAGGGAGATAAGCGTGTTCTTAGCCCCCAACAGGAGCGTGGGAAGTTCAAGAAGATGAGGCGGGCACCTCCTAAGGAATTAACGGTGTTGTGGGTGGGTTGGGTTGGGGACA